AGGCATTTGAAAATCGTCCCGTAGATGATGAGCTTTCCGAGAAACACGTCCAGTGGAAGCTTGGCGAGCTGCTTCCCCAGCGACGTCAGGCTCTCCGAATTCGTCAGTGCTTTCACCTCCTTCAGCGAATCGATCGCCCGTCGTATATTCTTCGCCGAGGGCGGATCCAGCGCCTCAAGAAGCGTCTGCTCGACGTCACCCAAGTTGCAAATCTTGACACGCAGTACCAGGTCTTGCAGTGACAGTCGGAGCATCTCAGGTGTTTGTTGCTCTGCCAGCTGTCCACCATTCAGCGTTTATTTACACCGCGTTGGTAGCCTCTAGAACATACCTGATTTTCATAACGGTATCTGGTGAAGAGATGGAAGCAGATACCCTCTTGGACTCGACCTGCTCTCCCTCGACGCTGCTTTGCATTTGCTCGTGAAATAAATGACTCCACCAGCCTTGAAAGTTGGCGTCTCTCATCGAATCTGGTACATTGTCAGGATACCATTCAGTAAAATATGGGTGAAATGGATTACCTCATCACTTTCTCTTTACCTGCATCGATAACCGCAGTAATGTCCGGAATAGTGATACCTACGGAAGTTAGTGGAACAGTAACAAAGCAGCTTCGAAGTCCACCTACCGGTTTCTGCAATGTTGGTCGCGATAACGATCTTCCGCATTCCCTCGGGCGGAACGAGGAAAGCTTTCTCCTGATCCTCACTGGCAATCGACGAGTGAAGCGTGTGAATGATCCAACCGTGCTCAAAAGCAGGGTCGGCTGTAATCTCATCGTGAAGTCGACGGATTTCAGCCAACCCAGGCATGAAAACCAAGATAGCTCTGCTGTATTGACTCAGCTCCGGTTTCGTTGCAATCTTAACCAAGAGTTTCGTAATCAAGCCATAATCAAGACGATATTCATCGAATTTCAAAACCGTTTCCCTCGTTTGGTTGGAGTATCCGTCGAGTGTCGCCCTGAGGCTCCTCGGCACAGCGTCATTACGGTGTCCGTCTGAGGAATATCCGTCGTCATCGTCATCAAACGAGGAAATCGATTGACGGTCGTCGAGGCGGTGGTTTGTCAATTCAATGGCGTCCTCGAGATACTTGACCTCAACGGGAAACGTTCGACCAGGGATGTTGAGAATCGGAGCTCCACCAAGATAAGTCGAAAAGCGTCGAGCGTCGACAGTGGCAGACATCAAGACGACCTTCAGTTCTGGTCGTTGAATCAGCAGTCTTCGAAGTACTATAAGCAGAAAGTCACTGTCAATGGTCCGCTCATGGACTTCGTCCAATACAATGTGGGTAATGTCCTGTAAATCGCCAGGACGCTCTAGCATTCGCACGACAACTCCCGTCGTCCTATACAATGTAAGTGACGAATTTTTCACACGGAGTAAGCTCAACATACGCATAGATCAATCTGGTGGATTGGCTGACTTTGCTTTCCAACCTGATGGCATATCCAACAAGCGATCGATTTGTCCCAACGTCGCTGCTCCTCTCACCCAATTCCTCACTGACTCTCCGCGCCAAGGATATTGCTGAAATCCGGCGGGGCTCTGTGACATATATTTTACACTCACGACCGTTTAAAAGTTCATTCTCCAGAATGAAAGACGGTATTTGTGTACTCTTGCCACTACCCGTCTCGCTGCATATGATCAAGGCCTGATGTGCTGCAAGTGTATCAAGTATCTCCTGCTTATATCCCCATACAGGCAAGTTCATCCTAGATACTACCATGTTCTGGAATGCAGCACTAGAGGCCTTGTCCAGCCAGAGTTTGGTCAAGTAGTCGGCGGACATATTCGTATCTGCGGGTTGAGCTCTTTCCACGGCCTCGACCTGTTTAGCATTTCCATTCCGCTTCCTGAAATTGTCAGCTAGTACAACGTCATCTTCAAATTTTCCAACATTCTCTTGAACAAGCTTTTTAAGGCTTCGTATAGTTTCTCTATCAGCTTCGTCCTCCTGCTGTTTCTTTGTTTCGACGAATTCAGTCCACAACTCTCTCCATGCTGCTGGAAGCCGCAGGTAGGATTTGCTCTCCTTCGAATTCGACGCAGAGATGAGGAAAAGAGCAAGTGTCGATACATAACCTTCTGCCTGCAGACCCGTCGGAGTTGCGATGGAATCCATGGATACAAATACCGTAAATGGATTTGACTTGATGGTGACTCTATCCAACGAAAGAGGGAGCGGCACATCTTGCGGTTTGGACCATTGCACCTCAGCGGCTTTTCGGTTTGAATATGTCGATGATGATATGTCCCTAAAAATAATCTTGCATGCCGGATCCCTAGCAATCACAGATCAACTCAGCCAGGCTCACATATGTTTATCGCAAAAATGTAAAGGATACCTCGCCTTGCATGTCTCTTCCAGCACTCTTCGAGGACTTAAACCGCTTGGTTTCCCGAAATCCCGAATGAGAACGTCATGACTCGTGGATTCTGCTATCGACAAAGGCTCAGTCACAGATGTATCTGCTGCAAACATTTCACCAAAAAGGCCACCATTGTCATCATCAGTAGCCAAGCCCAATTCGCCTGGATCAGGTTCATCCACCGACTGGGGGTCTTCGACTCTTGAACTACTTGATGGTTTCTCGACTTGGCGCTCCTTCTCTCGCATGAACGCTGCCTCCTTCCTGAGCTCGTTAAGTTTATCTCGCCATTTGGCTTCAGCTTCTACACGGTCGAAGAGCGCGTCATTCTCGATTTTTGCTATTTTTCGTCGGATTCTTGCTACTTGAGGGTCAGTGTCATTTTCGTCGCCCTTGTCGCGTCCCGGCTTTTTATTCTTAGCCTTGGACGGCTGATCAAAATATTTAGGTCGAAGCTGATATAGGCGACTTTGCAGTGCCACATATTCTTCTGTTAAATCCTCTGGGTCGATAGAACTATCGGAATCGTCAGGACTGGGGTCTGGGGGATTGACAATCTGTGTCTCGCTCTTTGCTTTCGCCAGATTGTCATTGCCTTCAGCAAGAGAAGGCGCAGTTGAAGGTTGTGGTTGCTTATCATCTAAACAGCATTAGTCCATGCAATGTGAAGCGGGTTACAACCTTTACCAGTAATCCATGACGTGGTTGTCTTCGTCGTTCTAGAAAGTTGGGTCTTGTTCCTCTCGTACGGTGGCAGTTCATCAGGATCGCAGTGCAATGCCAGCCAATCCAGAGATTCATCAATATTCGGCACCACGTCCTTGTTACCACTCGCAGAGACCCCAGAATGGTAAACAATTATATATTTTAGCAAATCCTCCACCCGGGAGGCTGGAAAACCGAGCTTGACGAGTGTGTCTTTCAGAGTCCAGAGTCTAACACTCAGCTCCTCTTCTTTTGCACTGTTCATGTCACGCTCTGGACATGGATCGCGCTCCGCATCCTCCTTCCCAGTCAATTCCAGGATTCGGTCCAGGATTTCCGGAGGCAGCCAGTCGCTGAGATTTAGTAAATTTGCTTGTGGTCGCAGCACTCGTCGCTCGGTCTCCAGCTTAGACACCTGGCGATCAGAGTCACTTTTACATTTGGATGCGTATTTGTCAACTAGAGACTGCAGTTCTGCCTCTTCCAGGTGTCGCTCAAGCTCTTCAGGCGAATAATCTTGGAGACTCTTGTCCTTTTCATTAGCCTGAGGCTGTTTGGTCTCAGCAGACACGGTTGACTTCTCGCTCTCCGAGACGGCCACTGATGACTCTCCTGTTGATGACGCCCCTGCGGACTCTGTTATTTTGGGCTTTGAGGGCACAGAAACCGTTGCAAAGCCCCGCGCAGGGTTCGATGCTGGCTTCTTCTTTTTCTTGTTGGGAGGCATGCTGGGCACAGGCTGCTTCTGCTTCTTCGAGTTAGATGCAAGACCTGACGCAATCCATGTGGACGTCTAGATAAAAGGGAGAGGAAGAAAGGGCATTGTTCTAGACGGGTGATGGCTGGAAGATAATTGCCAACGCGTGGTGCGAAGGTGGCTCGTCATAGCAGCCCACCTGCCGGGTAGCTCACGGCGTGTCATGGATGGGCGGACGGTGGCCAACTGCGGGCGACGGCAGCTCTCCCCACAACCTCGAAAACTTTTATGATACAATTGCGGGACACGCGCAACAACCCGACTCGGTGCCCTGTCGACATGTCCCAGCCACCTTAACATGGACGAAATACAGTGGGATGCAGTCCAAAACGGGGACCTGGAGAGTCTGGGAGACGTGCTCCTTTCGAGCTCGACCTCTCGTCGAGTTCGCGCTCTCCAGGAAATCCGCGAAAAGAACGGTACGGCTCATTGCCCCTCATGACATGGAACGCCTGTTGACTCTTTTCTTCGCAGGGACAATACTGTCGCAAAAAACCCAGAGACCTCTGTTAGACCTTCTTTTCCGGACGTATCCTCTCTACATTGACCGTCCCTCACGTTTGGCGGTTCAGCAATGCCTCCGAACTGTCCTGCGCTCTACAACCGAAAAACAGGATCTGGAATACTTGGCCGGGCGACTACGAAACGAGTGTTCGAAGTCAAGCCTTGCGCCTGCCTCCGCTTTTGTTCTCGTTGAGTGGTGCTCGATTGTGCTGCAGCATCTATGCAATGATGCGCAGGCTCCTTTGGCACTCGTTCTGGACGTCATGTCCGCAGATGCGAAGGTGCTGGAGACATGCCTCGGAGCAGACACGAAGCAGACCGTAAAAGAATCTGCCTTCAGAGTCACTCGACGTGCTCTCCGGGCCGTCTTCTCTTCAGAGAGTTGGGGTGAAGAGGCGATCCGGGAATCAGTGACACGACTGACAGGCGATCCTGCTTCGGCTCAGAGAAATGCGCCTTTTCTCGGCGTTATCTCTGGGGTCTCTGCGCGTCTCCAGGCCAGAAGACACGTTCTGGAAGGCCTTAAAAAGCCAATCCTGGCGTTCTATGCTAAGGAGATACTGGGCTCTCGAACACCTGTTCCAGGGCACATTGCAGATGGCCTGTCCGATTTCTTTTCGTCATTTGCTACTCATGAAGATCTGAAAACAGAAGTCTTTCCTACTCTAGAGAAAGCTATCCTGAGATCCCCAGAGGTAGTGCTGGGTGGTTTGATCCCGCCCCTCTGCTCTTCAATACCCCAAGAGATTGATTTGTCAGAGGTGGTCTACTCCCGTCTCGTGAAGCCTCTTCTGTCCAGTCTCAAGTCCACAAATCCGGTAATTAGACAAGGCGCAGCCCAGTCTTTGGAGTCCCTGATATCCAAATGCAGGTCTGAGGACTGGCTCCTGAAAGTGATAGGTGAAATCATTGGTCCTCTGAAGACCCAGAAAATTTCAAACGCCGAGCAGCGCGCTTTGCATGCACAAGTGCTGTCTGCCATTCCCTGCTTCGTCAATCTATCCCAAGAAGTAGTCCAGGGCCTGGTCCCGGTGTCGTCTCGTGAGTCGAGCGAAGTAGCCCTGGAGCCCGAACTCAAGGCTGTCTGCAAGCACCTCGCCCATCTCGTCCAATCTAAAGTGGCCCTTAAGGACGATATAATAACCACCATTTCAAAGGGCTCTGGGGATAAACGTGTCCCCTTTCGAAAAGTATGGCAGCTCAATATCGGCGACGTTCTCTGGAAGATCGACCAGGAGACTCTCTCGCATCCCTCAAATGTGCCCTTTGTCAAGCAGATGCTCGCCAAGCTGAAGGACTCGTTCAACGAAGTTGTCGCAAATCCCTTGCCATCTGCTCAGAGTGGCCTTGTCTCAATTGCTTATGTACTCCTTGCTTTATGCGGTCGCTTGCAGGAATCTGACATTGTAACGTCTGACGAGTGGGCTAACACTGCTGCGCAATCGGTGTCGCTCACCCCTAAGCCTTCGTTCTTGCTGAATCCGAAGGTTTATACTAAGCTGACATCAGAAGATGATTTCCGGTGGAAAACACGGGCGCTCGCCGCAATCGCGACGAGGCCTGGCATTCGGAGCTATGACTCTACGACAAAGGATGCATGGGGTCAAGCTTTCATATATGTCATTGCCAGCCCTGTGGTTCCACCAAGAAGCCGCGAAACAGCGTGCCGCGCGTTGTCGGAGGTTTATCTCAAGGATGCGGATACGATTGGCACTGTCATTAGTGATGCGGTGTGGACCTGGATTCTTTCCTTGGAAACCGCTGAGAAAGAGTCCGCTGCTGTCGCTGCTGGCGCGAACAGTCAAAACTTCCTTCATCTTGTTATCAAAGCCATTCGTCCTCGTGTATCTGACATCCAAGCATCCGGCCAAGCGGGCATCGAGCTCACCCTCAAAAACCAGCTTATCAATACCCTTGTGCTTTGTCGCGGTGAACTGATTCCGAAGGTGTCCTGGATTGAATTATGCCTGAGGACCGGAACAGATCCTGGAAGACTCGTTTCCGAACGGCCTGATGAATGCATTCAACAACTGACCCGGGTGATGGAGGTTCGTTAACCAAAACATCTCATGTGTGCAGTCTTGTCTATTAACTCGGTTACTTAGGATCCGGTTCAGTCTAGGATACCTCAAGCAAGCACCGCTGTCTGGAATGCGGCCGCAGATCTCGCGTTCGTTGCTCCGGATGTTATGGTGCCGCATCTCGTTCGACTCATTCAGGATGACTTAGACACTAACCGTATATCCAAATTCACACCGACCGATGCTGCTATTGCACGCACTCCGGAAGGAACAATGTTTGTGGATGTGTTGAGCACTAAGACTGCTCAACCTCTTTCCGCGAAGAGCGTCAAGGATTACGATACTTTGAAGTGGGAAGAGGAACTAAGGGCTCAACTTGCTCAAAAGAAAGGGCAGACGCAGAAGAAACTCACAGCAGAAGAACAGGCCAAAGTCAAAGCACAATTGGAGAAAGAAGCCAAAATTCGGGAAGAAGTTCTGCGTGAAACGAAGCGAATTGAGCGAGGTGCCGGAATTGTACGGGGCCTGGCTACTGGTCCACCTATTGATGCAGATGGTTGGATTAACGCGGCAATCGCTTCTCTTCTGTCCCTAGCACGATCTAATGCTGGCCTCTTCGTCGGTGATACTGTCTCGAAAGCGTACATTGCTTGCTCTGAAAAGATTTCATCTCGTCTCGGTACTCTACGACCATTTGTCGGCGTTGCAACGTTGCGAGCCTTGGGGAACACATATCTACCTCCTGAAACGGAGGTAGAACCTCTCGGAGGTCAGTTATTCTTTATTGGCTAGTGATATACCGACTGACATAACATGTAATGCAGATCTTGTAATCAGAATTCTCTACCGGCTGCGCTTTACATCTGAACAACTACCTTTCGACACAGTGTCTCTGGCATACGCGCTTCCTCTGATCTTTTTGGTCCTCAGCCGAAACGGTATTGAAGAGAAGAAAGGAGAGGAGGAGGGAGAGCAAATCTTGCTGACATTGGAGTTTCTGTCATTCCATTCCTCTTCCTGTAAGTGCCAACACTATTTATTTGGTATTCTAAAAGCTCACTTCTTGCAGTTTCGGATAGCCGTCTTCCCCGCGGTGAAGTCCTGCAGCACTTGGTTACCTCACTGCACAAATATTCCCAGCACTATAAACTGGTCAAGGATACCTTGTTCGATCTCTGCAGATGCATATCGCCCAATATTTCTCGTGAGGAGCTAGACGTCCTGCTCGAAGGGACTCTCGCTTCCGATATATCGGTTAGGACTGCTGTGTTGCAGGTTATAGAAGCTGAAATTGACCTGACGGACCTGGATTTCTCCGAGCATATCTGGCTATGCTGTCACGATCACGTCGAGGAGAATGTCGAGCTTTCGGAGACGATCTGGGAAGAAAATGCACTGGAAGTGTACGAGGATTCTTACCCGAAGATCGTGAAATACCTTGACTCCAAGGATTCACAATTGAGAGGGGCAGCCGCTCGTGCTCTTGCACATGCGGTCAAATTGAACACATCGATATTTGCGAAAGTGCTGTCAGAGTTGCAGTCAAGGTACGAGACTGAGATCCAGCCGAAGGCTCCTGAGAAAGATAAATACGGGATGCCCCTCAAAGTGGACACGACAGACCACTGGGAAATCCGAAGCGGGATAGCCCTTACTTTCAAGGCTATGACAAACTTATTTGAGGGCGATCAAATTGTGTCTTTCATGAAGTTCCTGATCGAGAAGGGTCCTCTGGTAGACAAGAACGCCTCCGTGAGAGGGCAAATGGCGGACAGTGGAAGATCCGTGATCGCGATGCGTGGTGAGCAGAAAGTCGAGGAATTGATGGGACTCTTTGAAAAGACGCTGGAAACATCGGACAAGGCCACAGAGAGTTCTGACTGGCTCAACGAGGCTGTCATCATCCTTTACGGCTCTTTGGCCAGACATCTCAAGGCAGGAGATCCGCGGTTAGGAACAGTCATTCAAAAACTTCTTGCTGCTCTTCCTACCCCTTCTGAAATGGTCCAGTCCGCAGTGGCAGAGTGCCTTCCACCCCTGATTAGGCTATCGGGCCCTGAAACCGAAGGATACGTTCGAGAGATGCTCGATCAGCTTGTGCAGTCTAAGAAGTATGCCACCCGGCGTGGTGCGGCATATGGTCTTGCTGGAATCGTTTCTGGTAAAGGACTCATCGCCTTACGGCAGTATCAGATCATGTCTGCCCTCAAAGAAGCTCTTGAGAACAGAAAGGATCCGAACCAGCGACAAGGTGCTCTTCTGGCCTATGAGCTGTTTTCTGCTGTCCTTGGTCGGAAATTTGAGCCTTACGTCATCCAAATTGTCCCTCATCTGCTCACAAGCTTCGGCGACCCAAGCGTCGAGGTCCGGGATGCTTGTCTTGACGCTGCGAAGGCGTGCTTTGCAAGCCTTAGCTCTTATGGAGTGAAGAAGATCCTTCCTACGCTCCTAGAAGGTCTTGATGATACGCAATGGCGCAGTAAGAAGGGTGCCTGTGATTTGCTTGGTGCCATGGCGTACCTCGATCCCCAACAGCTTGCAGCTAGTCTACCAGATATCATCCCTCCTCTGACAGAGGTGCTGAATGACAGTCATAAGGAGGTGCGAAACGCCGCGAATCGCAGTCTGCAACGCTTTGGCGAAGTCATCAGCAACCCGGAGGTGAAGAGTCTAGTTGGCATCCTCTTGAAGGCTCTTAGTGATCCAACAAAGCATACCGAAGAAGCCTTGGACGCATTGATCAAGGTTTCCTTCGTCCACTATTTGGATGCTCCGTCGTTGGCTCTTGTCGTGCGCATTCTGGAACGTGGGCTTGGTGATAGGTCAACAACGAAACGCAAAGCTGCCCAGATTATCGGGAGCTTGGCTCATCTTACAGAGCGCAGAGATCTCATCTCTCACTTGCCCATCTTGGTTGCTGGATTGCGTCTTGCGATCGTCGATCCGGTGCCCACGACTCGGGCTACCGCATCCAAAGCCCTGGGTTCCCTCATTGAGAAGCTCGGAGAAGACGCGTTGCCTGATCTTATTCCGAGTCTTATGTCAACTCTTAAATCGGATACTGGAGCGGGCGACAGGTTGGGATCTGCCCAGGCTCTTTCCGAAGTTCTTGCAGGGCTGGGAACGACGAGACTCGAGGAGACATTGCCCACTATACTTCAAAACGTCTCCAGCTCCAAGCCTACTGTCAGAGAAGGCTTCATGTCTCTTTTCATTTTCCTGCCTGCCTGCTTTGGCAACAGCTTCGCCTCCTACCTTAACAGAATTATCCCCCCTATTCTGTCTGGGTTAGCAGATGACGTTGAGTCAATTCGTGAAACTGCCTTGCGAGCTGGTCGCTTGTTGGTCAAGAATTTCGCATCGAAGGCCATTGACCTTCTCCTTCCGGAACTCGAGCGAGGTTTGGCGGATGACAACCACCGTATCAGGTTGAGTTCCGTCGAGCTTGTTGGTGATCTGTTGTTCAATATCACCGGTATTACGAACAAGGTCGATGCCGAGGAACAAGAAGAAGGTGCGACACAAGCCGGCCAGTCTTTGCTGCAAATTCTCGGGGAAGAGAAGCGGAACAAAGTATTATCCTCTCTCTACATATGTCGCTGCGATACTTCCGGCCTGGTCAGGAGCGCTGCAGTTTCGGTGTGGAAGGCGCTGGTGGCTTCTCCAAAGACACTGAAGGATCTGGTGCCCACGTTGACACAATTGATCATTTGCCGTCTCGGATCATCCAACATGGAACAAAAAGTCATTGCCGGAAACGCACTGGGAGACCTCATCAAGAAGGCTGGAGAAGGCGTTCTTGCTACCTTGTTGCCCTCGCTCGAGGATGGCCTACGAACTTCCTCAGATGTCGATGCCAGGCAAGGTATCTGTATCGCGCTACGCGAACTTATTGCCTCAGCGTCGCCCGAGGCTCTGGAGGATTATGAAAAGATACTCATATCTATTGTCCGTGTTGCATTGGTTGACAGCAATGAGGATGTCCGGGAGGCAGCAGCTGAAGCATTCGATGCGTTGCAGCAAAGCTTTGGCAAGAAAGCAGTTGATCAAGTTCTACCATATCTTCTGTCTCTGCTGCGAAACGAGGAGGATGCCGAACAAGCGCTGTCGGCTCTCCTTACCCTTCTTACGGAAACCACTCGCGCCAACATCATTCTTCCAAATCTCATCCCTACCTTGCTTACACCTCCAATCTCCGCCTTCAATGCAAAGGCTCTTGCATCCTTGTCAGAAGTGGCTAGCTCTGCTATGACTCGTCGACTGCCGACTATCCTCAACGCCCTTATGGATGAGATCATCTCAACCAAGGACGATGAACACAAACAGGAGCTTGGCAAAGCCTTCGATGCCGTCCTTGTGTCCGTGGACGAGTATGACGGTCTCAATGTTGTTATGAGCGTTATGATGTCTCTCATGAAACACGACGATCATCGACGACGAGCCAACGCAGCCATCCACCTTGCCACATTCTTCTCGGATGCTGAGATAGACTTCTCAAGATATCACCAGGACTTGATCCGCGTGTTGCTCATATCGTTCGACGACAAGGATCAGGATGTGGTCAAGGCTGCATGGACCGCGTTAAGTCAGCTGACCTCGAAGATGCGCAAAGAAGAGATGGAGATATTGGTGATCCCCACACGCCAGGTACTACGGCAGGTTGGAGTCCCTGGAGCGGATCTTCCTGGTTTCAGCTTGCCCAAGGGAATTACCGCTATTTTCCCCATCTTCCTCCAGGGTCTGTTGAATGGCAACGTAGAACAGCGAACGCAAGCTGCTCTCGCGATTGCCGACATCATCGATCGGACCGGGGCGGAATCTCTGAAACCATTTGTGACTCAGATCACCGGTCCGTTGATCAGAGTTGTTTCTGAACGATCTGTGGAGATCAAATGTAAGCATC